AATCGCAGTTGTCAGTTGTCATCCTGTGATGAAAAAAACTCAAAAAAATAATGGAATCTTTTTTCTTCTTTCACACGTCTTTGTAATGATCATAATTTCAGCTTATTCCCAGGTCAAAAAGAAGTGCTCTTAAAGGCATTGAAAATATACTTGAAATTCACATAGTATGCTTATAGTACATTCATACTTCTAACATGCTTACTACAAGTATATTAAAGATATATTCTCCGGAGCTTTAACATACTTCTCAAAAGTATACTTTGAATAAATTGGTAATAAATATATACTTAATTAAACTTTTAATAAATATGTTTAAATAAAAGTATATTTTTTTACAACATTTTAGTCTATTTATTAAAAATTATTTATTTAACTCTTAGTAAATACTATTTAGGTGTACTTTGTGGAAGTACATTGTTAAACAATTACACTTTTAGTGGGTTAAAAATATATTTATGCCAAACATGCTTCATTGTGTAGGCTACTGCAAAATATTGTAATTATTTATGTAACTGCCACATGTTTGAGCCTGATTTCCAGAAGTATGATTTTTAAAACAAATTTTTTTAACATTAAAATGTATTTTTCAAAAGCATTGTTTTTTTCATTTGTTTCTTTCTTTTAATGTTTTTTAGAGACCTGAGATTAGAGACCTCTTTCATAAGTGTAACCTGGCCTAGAAGGAAGCAGCACATGTTGTTAACTTAACAAACAACAACATATAGAAATATGCATACTTTAAATAATAATGTAGTTATACTTGTTTCTGTTTGTAAACAGTAAACACATGTGTACACAGGGACGAAGTGTGCTGACTGCTAGCAAAAATGCTGGAATTTGATTTTAACAAGGCAGGCCTGTGCATGTGTGTATGAGCCCTCATTTCTGCTTTTGCACTGTTAAAATGACCAGTGAGGTCTTTATCAGAGTAATAAATGCAACTAATGTGTTGCTGTTTGTGTGCTAGGTAGGAATAGGTTCACATTTTTATAATCTAACTTAATACTCACATGTCCGTGTTTACAGTAAGTTATTGGTCACTGTAATAATTTTTCCTGCCCATATAGTCTATAAAGACATCACCACAGTTGTCATTTTTGTATAAATTCATTCTAAAGTTTAGCTTAAGCTACTATGAATCATCAGCTAAGCATCTGTGTTAGACTATTCAAAAGTGGACATCTTCCAGAGGTACACTGTTTTTTAGAGATATCTCTTCACTGCAACCATGGAGGGGTAATTATTACAGTGACCAATAACTCAGTTATAACAGCAATGTTAAAGTGTACACGTGTATGCGAGAATTGTTTTAAGACGCACTTGAAATAATGTTTTTATGTACTGCAATGCCTGACCACATGATATAATAGCTTGTGATGTTATGTAAAATACTGCTCAACTTTATGTCCATTTGTATGGTCATAGATCCTGTATTCAACTTTTAAAAGTTGAACCTACCCTTTGCCAACTTTAACCAACTTAATGCTAAACCCAGAGTTGGAATTTCCGGCCTTAGCTCAAATAAAAAAAATTTAATAAAGAATAATAATAAAGATTTGCTATAAGAATAGAATTACAGTGCTTATAATGAAACACAAATGAAGAACTAAACTAGGTGGAAGTACTGGCCTAACTGAATATTTAAACTAATTTGCAACTGCATTTCTTTCCTTTTAGAGCTTTGTGGGATCGTTGCCTCACTCAGATGGCTCAGAGGCCACAAAAATCTCAAAGGACCAGCTGGACCCTCACAAGCTCAACCTGCTCATAGGTATGTCTGGCTCCTGCACACCATCACTGTTCTTGCTCTCACTACATGTCAAAGGGGTCAGACTAAATAAACAAATATTCTTGTGAAAAAATAATTTTATTTAAAATATTGTTATACATTAAGTAATTGGCTACTTTTGTACTTCATAAATTGACTGCTGTGTTAATGTGAAATGATGTAGACAGAACAGTTGTGAAGCAAGTCTGTATGTTTGTGTTAATTGTTGTACCTGTTTAATAAAATGTTATCACATACAGCTCCTTGGCTGAATGCAATGTTTTTGATTATGTTGTAATGGAAGAACTGTGCATTTACTGGGACGGGGCCCTTGTGGAAAACCATTTCACCTCAGTGTTTCCCACACATAGGCTTTGCGGCCGGCCAAGCAAATTTGGCGACCCATTTTAATTGCAGTGCTACACAGTGCATATTCGCTCACCTCACTCGGTCGCCGCCTCTCTATCTCTTGCACGCAAACAACCCTTCTGCGAATTGAATGGTTGGTATCATGAACACCACTGCACACTTTAAAAAAGTTATTAGCGACCATGTAAGGAGCCTAGCCAATAAGGATAGCTATGTTAACTTTAGAATGGGCCTACAGCTGTTGAAGATAGCACGCTATTCATAACTGGTAGTCAATAGGTGCGTTCGAGATGACTGCGGCTGACTTTCGCAGATTTGATAGGATAGTCCAATGTGAGATGCAGGCGACTGCGGGGGCGGAGTATAAAAACAGCGCCGACACAATCTACCTCCAGTAGACTGCGTGAGCTTACTGTGAGCTTTGAACAATGATCAGGCAAATAGGTGGTTGCAACTTTGTGCAGCCAGAGAAAAACAACCGCGTGCGTCAGACTCGGCGCCTGCCACCGCCTTGCTCCCACAAGGTAATGTTATGTCATGGTGATGTGACATCATGGTGACGTTTTGCAGCGCCGGGTGTGAATTCTGCCTACCTGCCGAGAAAAGAAAGTCTCATCGCAAATCTCGGCAGGTAAATTAGCCTACATCATCTGTTCTGCCTAATTATGTATCCACCTGTATAGGACCTTTTAAGACACTTTGCTGTGCTCATTGATCAACTGCGGTTATCACCACATATTTATTGCTAAATCTCAAGGAATGCGGCTTCTGCTAACTGTAGCTAATAAAATATCAACAGCTCTAAACTACTCTAAACGTTCATGAAATATTTCGAATCATTTACCCCACAAAGAAAATTATAGCGTTTAAAAGCAGTATTTGGAAGTGCATGCAATTCTCGGCAGGCAAGCGAAATTTGGCATATCACTAACTAAAGTTGCCCCGTCCCCGCCACATTTACGCTGACATTCTGTGGGAAACACTGCACCTGAACCTAAATAGTTAGCATCAGAACAGTTAAGACATGATGTCATATTGTGTTTTAGCAACTTCAAACAAAATAAAAAATCTGACAATGGTTGTTAATTAATTATTGGTAATATTGCTTTGATATAGACAAAATATTTCCTTTTCCCTTCCACAGATGCTGTGTGATAAAGCAGTTTCCAAATAGTGTCTGCAGTCACAGAAAATACAACGAGTCCTACTCAAAGATACCGACCCTCCACTCCAAGGATAAGGACTGTGACATTTTTCAGTTTCAGTTTGGTTCCACCATTTGTACTGTAAGCTTGTGACGGAGTACCTTCACTACAGTTGAGTAAGCGCTTGGACTGCCATACAAACGAGCCTGGCTCTTTGGCGTTGCTGTCAAAGTTGCATGTTTGGTATGTTGTAGAACTGTGTTTGAATCTGGGTAGGGTGAGTGCTCTCGCCTTTGACCGCATGGTGTCAGAAGTGGGATGGCTTACCGTGAGGTCATCTGAGCCGGGCCCAGAGTCCGAACCGTATGAGGGACCCCCATGGGTAACATTAATGATGTGTACTTTTCAGTAATACTGATCATATGTCATCATTTTACGGATTTTTTTATTTGAAGGTATTTTGGTCAAGATGCGATACATGCTGATGTACATTTTAATTTTTGTAATATACACAAAATTCAAGTTTTTTAGTTGTCTGTGTGTGTGTTGTAAAATACTTTTTTTTTTACTGGTTGTTATTATAAGGCTAAAAGGGCATTTTGCAAGATATTTTTAATGCATTAATAATGCATTATTCTCATACTGAATGGTTTCATAAAGCAGCTTCCCAGGATATTAATAGTGGCTCTTGGAGTATACTAGTAAAAATTACTAATATGCTCAAATGCTAATAAAAATGTTCAGGGAACACATTTAAAATATATTTAAACTGTTCTTCAAGTATAGCACAAAAGGGTATTTTAAGTAAAATTTTAAAAAGTACATTTAAATTACAGTAATAAAATAGGTCCATTTTAACACAACTAAGTACATTAAAATATATTGCAATTATCTTAAAGTTGACTAAGTATTTCTAAAATTACACTTAACATACCTTAAGTTGTTCCAAAATAACAAATTTAATATACACTTAGTATAGTACAATTAAAATATGATAAGTGCATCCAAAAAAAGTGCTACTTAAGTATATTTCTTTTTCACTTGGGTTGTCTATGAAAACACCAGATATTTATAGACAGAACCTGATTGCTTGATAGTTAATCACTGTGGTTGATAAATTAAAAACACATTTCTGGAGCGAAAACATCACAATAAGTAGGCATACAGCCTGATTCTCCTCATCACTGTACACACAGGCAGCATGTTCCTCAGTTGGGCAAAATTAGCACTCCTGACATGAAGATGAGAGTATGTAGAGGTCTAAGGCTCACAAATTCCCACACATACATGTGATGGTAGAGGTGAGCAGTTACAGTCATTGATGCATTGCATGTGATGAATTGTATTAATTAAGAAAGGGACAGCAATGTTAATCTGAGCAGAGGAACGGAGTCACACATTCATCATTACAGCTGCATATTAGCACTTAACTGTGGATGGTCCTGCCAGGTGGGAGGCCGTAATTCTTATCTTAGGTCTGTGGGGTGGTATGAAAGACTGGTGGAGCAATCATTAAAATATGTCTTGTTCTGATGAGGGTGAAGCCTGATTCAGTCAGCAAGCCCGCGGCAGCAGCACACAGAAACAAATGTTTTATAATGTGGATTAAACTCTGCCCAGAGGGCTTGCAGTTGATTTATAAAATGTTAATATAAAATAAATAAATAAATGTCAGATACTGTATTATCAAAAAAAGACAGTCAAACAGCACGAAAAGCTTGTATTTTCACATTAGTATTTTAATTTTATGTATCATTAGTTCGTGATCTACAAAATGCAAATTTGCAACACCCAGAGCTGTGGGTCCCTCCAGTTTCATTTGTTACTTACTGTGGCTGATCTACAGTCCTCACATTGTTGAGGGAAGCATGAACATAAGAATGAGCAGATATAGACAGTCTATCTGAGGTTGCTCCCTGTTTGTGTCTCTTTTTAAATGTACACTAGGATGAAGGTATCAACATTATTCACACGCTACTAAACTGCCCCCTGGAGGACACATACTGTAAGGCAACATGACTTGACAAGGTGTCTGTCAACAGAGGAAACACAGATTTCATTTTATCACTGAACAAAGGTCAAACTTATTGTAACTGAAAAGAGTCACAAAACATCAGATTGCCCTCAATTGGAACCACTGACAACATCTGAAAACATTTCCATTTTTACTTTTAGAACACGCTTTAGTATGGAGCATGTGTTTCTACACAGCAGGTTAATCAGTATGAGTCCAGCGATTTTAATAAAGTGCCTTATAAAACAGAGTAGCATCCTGAGTCATAAAGTCAGACATGCATTCAGCTAAATGATCCCATCACAGATGGAAATGCTACATGTACACTTGTACAGTAGAGCAGTTCTCTTCAGGCTTCTCAACAGGCATCTCTATTCAAACAGTAAGAACAAGTGGTCATACAGAATTTCACTATGACTGGAAAAAAAGACCCACTGCCAAATGTGCTCTCCCTGCTTCACAGTTTCCACACAAACTCCCATTTACTTAAAAACAGCAGACAAACAAGCTTGGTCCTCTTCTCGATATGATGACAGAGGATCGGAATGATGTAAAGGAGAATCAGGTAAAAGTTGCATGTTACATGCTAACCTGCTAGTAGTTGATTTCCAGCTCTAAAACATTAATTTAGTGAAGAAACAACAAACAAATAAATCAACTCTGGTAAATTCAGGGTGCCTCACACTTGGTCACCACTGTTGGGAATGATTACTATGCATTTGCATAACGGTTTGTGCAGTCATGTGTTAGTAATGGATTTTGGGAAAATTTTAGATCATCAGAACCCCCATTGAACCTCTGCTAAATCATAAACTCAGTCTTGGCCTAATATGACACCAATAAAGTAACAGGAATCACATTCCTGGCACAAACCTTTTTAAGCCATAATCAAAAACACTGGTGTGGGCTCTGAAGGCACCGAACACCACTGCTGAACTGGGTTTAATTACTGCTGAGATTAAAACATAAATCCCAATATCTGATCTGGAATTAGTTCAAACCAATATTTCGACGGTCATCAACATGACAAGTGTTGAAGTGCTCCTTCTATCAGTACGTCTCATCCTGTAACTAATCGTACCTGAAATTATACTGGACAACTACAGTAAACATCTGCTAGAGCTAATTTTAAACTCTCTAAATGTCATGGTCATTCTAATTACCCAGTTACACCACTTATATTAAGCATTTCTGTCTGTTAATTCTAGTAGTTGCCCCTTCCAAAAGTTGGTGTACTAATGCCCTAAAAAAAAAAAAAAAAAAAAAAAAAAAAAAAAAAAAAAGATTATTTTGATAATTTTATATATATATATATATATAAAATTATCAAAATCATTTCGTCTGTAGTTGTGAGACAGAGGTAGAGCGAACGGAAACATGCACGAGCCCATAGTAAACTGTACATGATTCCCTTTCTGCCCCCTTCACGGGGTGATGTGTGCGGCAGTGTCGGTGGATGGTTTGGAGAGCGGCAGTCACCGAGCATGCTCAGGAGATGATGCGAATGCCAAAGTACTTCTTCAGCTGCTCAAGGAAGATGAAGGTGAGTACTGTGTGAGGAATCAAGCGGATCCCTGCGGGGACGAGACCCTGCAACAAACATTTGGCATTAGATTAGCATTTGTAGTTTTCTCCCGTTACATCCGTCAATTTAAAGCTACTATGCCTATTAAGTACTTTAGTATAAAACAGGTACTTTATCATTAAGGTGGGTTGCCAGCTGCTGTACATGCAGGTCATTTATCACACTTGACATACAGTACATAAATTTCTCCCTTCTGGATACTGCTGTTTCCTCAAAAGAACACAGGACTTATACATTACAAATACATCTGGATGCTGTGTGGCTTTGAAGAAACATGTAATTTCATTTCAGTTGGACTTTAAATTATAACTTGATCTTAAAATGCTTCATACATGCATGTGTATACTGTCCGATGAGTAATGGCGTCATTCAAAACATTCATTGATTCACTCAATCACTATTATGTAACAGGCTAAAAGTAATTTCATAGCTTATGGTCGATGTACACATGCCTGTAAGACTTTCCCCATCTCTTAAAAGGACAATGAGGACAAATAGGTGTGTACTTAGGGCTGGGCAATATGGCCAAATTTGATATGACGATAAAAAAATTCATATCATTTGATATCGATAATTATCACAATAAATGTTAAATCATCATTTCTTTCCAGTGTAAAAGCTGATTTTTGCTCCTGAGTGAAAATTTAAGAAACCAGATGGTTAATTTTGTGGCTAAACTTTTCTTTATGGTCAGAACGTGACAAACACTATATGCCAAACAGTGGATGACTTCACAAATTTGAGGTACACACGGTAGCTCCGCTTTAATCTTGAGAAGCTGCAGAGTTGCAGTCTCTCTTCATTCAACTTACACTTGCACTTTTAATAACATTTATTGAAAGTTTTATTCTTTTTACATGTTTATTTACAGCATTAAACGTTGAAATATGTTTTGTAATAGGCTGTATATTAACTTATTGGGAGAAAACTGGTAGTTCTGTGTAAAATCAGATGCTGAGCACCCCCATATCGCCAAAATGGCATGATCCATGTTTCTCTGCAAAGACTATGAGATTGACAGTCGAATCAGGCACCGCCCATCAAAGCATCGAATCTTCGGCTGTTGGGTGTCGGGCCTAAAAATCATATTGCAAATATCATTTTTGTTTTATTGCCCAGCCCTATGTGTACAAGTATTAAATTATTACACACCTTCACTGGTAGTGACTTCTGCACCTGAATTCATCTCTCTTTTTTATTTTTACATTTCAGACAATAATGATATGCAATAGCATGTTTAAGCACATTCTACATGATTTATTTATAGTATTCTCATAAGATGTAGCCTATTGCCCATAGTTGTTACGAAATGACTACTTGTCGGCTACTGTTGTGCCCCTTAATTACATAGTTAAATTTCACCTTTGCACCATTGTCAGCCCTTATACCATAGTCAATGGGCACTTGGTCCAACTTTCCTAAAAATATTCAGGAGACAGCACTCAATGTCTTTTTACTTTACAATTTTGTATGAAATTACAGCTTAATTCATATAGATTACATGTAATCAAGAACCTCTGATTAAAACTGGCACTAAATAGCCACAATGCCATTAATGATTAGTCTCTAGCACTGTTCATTACCTTGTAAAACGCCAGCGGACCCAGCTTGGCAGTTTCTCGTAAGCAATGAGTCACCCCCTAATAAGAGAGAGAGATACACTAGATTAGAATGAACACTGAGAAATAAAAAAATTGGATAAACTCACAAGGATGAACGGATTAGAGGAGACAATGCCAAGGTATACTCACTGTGTACTCTCCCTTTGAGTTCATCAGCCTCGTCTTTAGTACATCCAGAGGTTGACACAAGAATGTAGCACAGCCTCCCTGTATAGCAGGGTTTAAAATTCAAAGAGGTCCAGTTAGAAAAATTTCACAAAGCAAAGGTCCGGATCATCAACTTTCAGTAACTTACCATAATGTGTAGCCTAGTTGTATCAACATATGCTTTCAGTTAACAACTGACTGTATATAAAAAGGTCAAATCGGTAGGGCTGGACCCAAATATTCGACCATTGGGTACACATTCTATTTTCAATTATGAGATCCGATTATTAAGGGGTTTTTTTCGCGCGCCTGACCTCCACGCTGACAGCAGTGAACATAATGCTCCAGATCACATCAATGGGAAAACCAAAGAAGCCCTCAGCTGTGTGGGAGCACTTTAAACTGAGTGATGACTGCAGTAGTGTGGAAGTTATGGTGTTTACTCATTTAACAATTGCTTAATTTCATTACAGATCAGATCAGTCAAATTTCCTACATTTTAAAATTAATCAGTGAACTGTAGGCTGGAAACAAACAGCAACACAATGAACACATTTAAATAAGCCTAATTACTGTATATTAGGCCGATTGTAGAAGAAGAGCATTTAGTCGCTATAATTAAAGTCAAAAGACAATTTTGCATAATAACGTGTTAGATTTAGTTCCGCTACCGAAAATACGCTCATCCTGTGCGCTCTCCGCCTGGACCCCCGCCCGCGAAACTATTCCCGGATTCTGCTCTGGACCTGCTCGGATCAGACTCTGTCAGTCTGGACTCTCAGCTACGGTTCCCCCTGCTCTGCACAGCAACCTGCAAACCGGTTCGGCACGCATCTATTTTCACTCTGCCTCGCTCTTGCGCTGCTCAATATCCGATCCTTTTAACCTGCAATAAATATTTTTCCCCTTTCTTAGTCCTGTACTTGGGTCTGCTAGTCTTGCCATAACAAAGTTAAAAAAAAGATTTGGTAATAATCACTCTGTTGGCCTAGCTATGAGAATAAATAAATGGAGCGCTCTCTATCGCGTTAAAACAATCACCATAACGGGACCACTGAGCTTCAATTATTCGCTCTTAATTACTATGGAAGCATCAAAGCTCAAAAATGACATTTGGGCAATGATTTTCACATAAAACTGAAGGTATAATAAATAACTACTCATAATAAATTCTAAATCTAAGTAAACTAAAGGCTGCATTTAAAAAAAGTTTTTGTAAATTTGCATCTTAAAATAAATTAATTTAATTTTTTGTTCAATTTCAGAAAAAATAATAAAACTGTAGCTTTGACTGATTGAAGTTCAGTCTCAGCCAATTTTATAATTAACACTCAACATGTCTTTACAATGAACAGCTTTATTGCCTCCTCTTCTCTTTCATTCCCCTTATATAGCTACCACTTCCCTACTTCCTCTTGTTCAGTGAGAAACGTGAGCTCTGGCTAGGATTGGAGCTATATGAGATATTCTGATTCTGAACTGCCCGTGGGAAGAATACATGTGAGAATCTGTACATTCTTGCTTAAAAGCCCTGTGAAGTATCTTTTCTCTTTCATCTCCTCTCTTCCTCTGTGTATCTCACTCACGGCCTCGACTCGCAATGCTCAGGGCCGTTAACGGCTCTGGTAATGCTCATCAGAATGCACAGATCTGATTGGCTGAGCAGCATCACATAAGATGACTGGAACACGTGCGGTCGGAGAGTTTCCCGGGCCGCTAAACCAGTACAGTAAATGCTAGAAAAGCTGTGCGGGTTAAAATAGAAACGCTCTGTCATAAGGTAGTAATTCTCAATAATAGATCAGGTCCGGACAATACGGCGGCTGGGTCCGGATCCGGACCGCGGTGCGCCTATTAGTAACCTCTGCTGTAGAGGAACAGTTCATCACTTCACAAAAGAGCCCTGTCAACTTTACACTGAGTCACTCAGGCTTCCAGGGCACACAAATAAAACCTGATACCTACAGCAATGAAGCTGGAGAGAAAGTGTGTGAGTATGTTGTCGCCCATCATGCCTGTTCCCAGCACGAGCTGCTTGGCCTGGTCATAACACGCCAACTAAAGATGGGGAAAAAGGAGAAAAATGTGTGGCATGGTAAAAAAAACAAAAACAAATAATCTGTGCTGATGTATTTATATCTCTTTACTACATGCAGCTGGCTGAACGCCCAATCCTTCATCCTCAACACAGTTTGACCTCCAGAAAACAGTGTAATGAGCAACAGAAAATCATGCCAGTACAGTAACTGACCTCTTAGCTTTTGGAAGCTGTGAGATCCATCACCAAAATTTGGCCTCAATTTGCCATTTTTTTAAAAAAAACCTTGTGAAAATAATGTGTGCAGTTAGTAGTTAGATTTTGGCAAGTTCCTTAACTGGCCTTTATGTATTTAAAAAAAAGCTATGCAATCCGTCAAAAACATAGCAAAAATATCAACCTGTCAAAAGTGTGACATTTTTTAATTTCAGTATTTGGCCCAATGGAAGTAAAAAAAAAACAAATAAATATAGACACTCTAGCATTCAGATGACCACCACCAAATGATAAGAAGGAACTGACAACTGATTTTGGGGATATTTAGCATAAAGGGTGGTTTGAAATATTTATGAAGACCCCTACAAAGCTGCATGTTGATTTGATGAAGAAAAGCATGCATTATGCATTGAACAAGCAGTCTGTTGGAAATTGATCCAGTATTGATTAATTAATGTACTTTTAATTTAATTCCATTATCTTATTAAAAAGGACTTACAGATGGATTCTTAGTTTGACATGACTAATAAATATCTTCCTAATGTATTTAAGAAAAATGTATCTAACTTGTAATTGTGCTAGCCCTGGTAGAATAAAGTACAATATAAAAATAGAGAGACAGATGTTCCCTTGGGTCTCTTTAAGTAAACTGCATACCTGAAATGCCAAAAAAGGGTTCCTGATCATAAATCATCTCATCACATAGTGCTGTGACTTGCCTGTCCCACAGTGACCATCGCTCCTCTGCTGGAGGCCATAGTGGCTCCTGAGAACAGTCTCCTCACACCCTCTGTTGGACAGGACACAGGTCAGAGGTCACACATGATGCCAGCCTGTGCTTTACATGAAGTTACATATTGGACAATATTTGGCTTGGGATTTACCTTCTCTGAAGACTCTGAAGAGCCCATCAATGGCATGTTTGTAGCTGAAAGAACAAAACACATTCAGGGTTAAATTATGAAAAGAACGTCAAACTGAAATCTTTTAGCCGAGTAACTCACAACTACTCACTTTCTCCTCAGTTCTGGTGGTAGTTTCATGTCATTCTGCATCCTAGAAGCACAAACTGTTCAGATCTTTTGAATACACTATTTGCTAAGCTCATGTCTAACCACAAACAGTTTGCTTGTTTAGAAGAATTTGTGTGTATATGTTAATGAGAGACTGAATTGTATCATGGCGCGTTACCTGACGTTCACCATGTCTGCCGGCGTGCCAACAAACCCACCAGTGAAACCTGTTGGCAGAGTAATCTTGTTGGCACACAATCCTGTATGAGTGACACTACGTGTGTGTGTGTTTGTGAGTTCTCACCTCCAAAGGCTCCCAGCACGACCTTCTGGTAAAAGGGCATGGGGCCCTGGCTTGTGCTGCCCATCATGTCCCTCACTGTCTCATAGATGGCAAATCTGGTGAGGGAATAGGACATCTGAGAGGAGAAGAGACGAGACAAGTGGAGAGGAGGTAAAAATAATGAGTCTAAGGTTTATTTAAGTCTGAGGACAGAAGCTAAACAGGATGCAGTGTTTACAGGATAAAACGTATCCTACTCTTCATCATCACTATCCAGTGGCTGCGATTCAAACTTCTCTTTCTCCCTCCAATCATGTTTAATCTCCTGCAACATCAACAGACTTGCTGGACACACTGCTGTCCTCTTTATAAAACTATTGATCTATTGACAGTATCCTGCAGCCACAACATTTTGGCCTTTTAATAACAGTAACTAGGAAACCTACTGAAACAACATTTGAAGGAACCTTTTACACAAAATATACCCAAAAACCTGTTCTAATGTGGTCTGTCATACTCCCACTCTTCCTCTAACCAGAAAAAATTTATTTTACTCAAACTTTATTTCTGTTTAAGAAAAAACTGAGTCATGTACACTGAAGAACGCAATGTGGACTAATTTTTCTTAATAACTTCTCAAAATTTATCTTAAAAAAGATCTTTAATTAATGCTAGCACACTGTAATATTTCCAACATATCTCTCATCTTCATTATTACTATTGTTTTTATTATTATTATTCTATTGTTGGGTGTTTTATTTGTGTATTATTTTCAATAATCTGATTTTATTTGTCTCCTTGCAGTCCTGAAATGTTTAATCCTGCTTTAACAATGTAAAGCACTTTGTAACTTTGTTTTGAAAGGTGCTGTATTAATAAAACAGATTAATTTTATTATCATTATTATGCCAATACCAGCCAGTGTCTACCGCAATATAATCTATACAATCATCCTGTAGGTTATGAAAAGGATACTAAAATCATACGAGGGTATGAGATGATCATATTTTGATTTTATGTTTGACTACAAGAGCAAGAACATGTCTTATACACAGACTGCTGAGTGCAGAGAGCAATCAGCAAACCCATTATAACAGAAAACATGGCATAACTATTAACACTGACGCAGTCAAACTAAAAAAAGAGCAATAATCAGTGTCACATAGTGCTGTTGAAGCCCTTCAAACTAAAAATTGTCTGAATTTAAGACTATTATAAACTATATGGAAATTGCCTCCATTCTTAACTAAGTCTGTTCTTAGCCCACCTTTAGGCTTATTTTAGTATTATCATCCGTTTCAGTGTAGTTTTGGCTGGTGTCTGATTTTGTATTGTTTTGTCTGCAACTTTTTATTGCTATAGTCTTGGCCTGGTCTCATTGGCAAAAGAGGTTTCCACCCCCAATGGGACCTACCAGGTTAAATAGAAAATAAAAATGACAAACTAATGAACACAACACACACAGAATTTCAAGAACAGACTTCAGCATACACACAGACACACATACCTGTCTGCAAAGTGAGGCAGAGAGGCCGTTATAAAGAGCCAGCACACCGTCGCTCTTCACCACATGAACAGCCATCCCCATCATCCTCATCTTCACCTCCTGCTGTGTCTGCAGGTGTACCTGGAAAGAAAGTCATGTGGCAACAATGGTGTCATTTTCAATACCAAGACATAGACAACATGTGGTCCAGTTGGGGCTGACCGAGCAACCTCAGTAACTTTTTCTCTTTGTTCTTTCTTGTGGGGTAACTTAGAGACCAGTTAAAATATTTAGGCAACTAAATGTGTCAAAGGGCTAAATGTGCCACCTCTTAAAGGGCCAGTGATTTAGTATCATACGTCCATTAAAAGGAATGACCAAATCTAATCAGCAAAGGCCGAGATACGTTTCCCATAATGCAACTAAATAGCATCTTTAGGTAGATCCCTGCTGCCTGGTAAACACACACGTCTTTCAAACTCCACACATCCAGTTTGTAACACAGGCTTTCTGTTGAAGAGATGTAGTCACTGATGACATCACTATGACTTTGTCAGGGTTATTTTCCCTGATTGACAGAGAACATAATAGTTCAGATTAAAAAAAAAGTACCTATGATCTCTTTCCACATTTTATTGTGTGCCATGCAATGCATGGAACTGGTCTTGGTCTCAACTGCTCTCAGCCCCTAAAAGTCTTGGTCTTGTCGCGGTCTCGATAAACTCTGTTCTTGGTCTTGACTTGGGCTCAGTTTGGGCGGTCTTGACTATAACACTAGGACATAATACATACACTACATTGCAAAAAGTTTTGGGCCGCCTACCTTTACATGAAGTTTAATGACGTCCCGTTCTTAATCTGTACGGTATAATATGGAGTTGGCCCACCCTTTGCAGCTAAAAGAGCGTCAACTCTTCTGGGAAGGTTGTCCACAAAATTTAAGAATTTTTGACCATTCTTCTAGAAGTGCATTTGTGAGGTCAGGCACAGATGTTGGACAAGATGGACTGACAATCTCCACTCCAATTCATCTCAAAGGTGTTCTATCAGGTTGAGGTCAGGACTCTGTGCAGGCCAGTCAAGTTCTCCACACCAAACCCGCTCATCATGTCTTTATGGACCTTGCTTTGTGCACTGGTGCACAGTCATGTTGGAATAGGAAGGAGCTATCCCCAAACTGTTTCCACAACTTTGGGAGCATGAAATTGTCCAAACTGTCTTGGTATGCTGAAGCATGAACAGTTCCTTTCACTGGAACTAAGGGGCCAAGCCCAACCCCTGAAAAACAACACCACACCATAATCCCCCCTCCACCAAAATTTACACTTGGCACAATGCAGTCAGGCAATTACTGTTCTCCTGGCAACTGTCAAACCTAGACTCATCCATCGGATCACCAGACAGAAGCACGATTTGTCACTCCAGAGAACAGGTCTCCACTGCACTAGTGTCCAGTGGCGGCGTGCTTTACACCACCGCATCAGATGCTTTGCATTGCACTTGGTGATGTAAGGCTTGGGTGCAGCTGCTCGGCCATGGAAACCCATTCCATGAAGCTCTCTACGCACTGTTCTTGAGCTAATCCAAAAGGCCACATGACGTTTGGTGGTCTGTAGCTACTGACTCAGCAGAAAGTTGGTGACTTCGGCGCACTGTTCGCCTCAGCATGCGCTGACCCCCTCTGTTATCTTAAGTGGCTGAGTTTCTGTTGTTCACAATCGCTTCCTCTTTGTTATAATACCACTAACAGTTGACCGTGGAATATTTAATAGTGAGGAAATTTCATGAATGGACTTATTGCACAGGTGGTAACCTATCACAGTACCACGCTTGAATTCACTGAACTCCTGAGAGCGACCCAGTCTTTCACAAATGTTTATAGAAGCAGTCTGCATGCCTAGGTGCTTGATTTTATACAAATGTGGCCACGGAAGTGATTGGAATACCTGAATTCAATGATTCGGAGGGGTTTCCTAAACATTTGGCAATATAGTATATGTGAGAAAAGCACCAACTCAAATTGGTGCAGCAAGAGAGTAATGTTTAACACTGGCAGTTATAATTTACACATGTTTTCTCAGTGTCTTAACCCGTGTGTGTGTGTGTGTGTGTGTGTGTGCATGTGTGTGTGTGTGTTATTGTAGAACAGCTCTACAATGTGGCCTTTGTCCTCTGTCTAATCAGTATTTGAGTTTGAAGTGCACTAACCCCTTCAAAACACAATGCTTTTCCTGCCTCATCACCAGTCTTATTGTTCATAATTTTTTCAGTCATTTTGTCTATTTTTGCTCACTTTAATCACCACACACTGGTTTCAACACCAAGTCAGACAGCAAGTTAAACATTTAGTCCCTGACTTTGTTAAAGCTTCAAGTTCCAAAGCTTCCTCTCAGCTCACTTAGGCTGAGATTTGGGAGAACTAATCATTGCACAAGCAAAATCAGTAATGTGGTTTATAATACAGGTTTATTGTGACTACACATTTGCTGGTGTCTACACAAAGTTTACCTTTTCATTTTGTACTGCGAGTCACGGGTATATGCAAGTGCGTCACTTTGTGTTGAAAAGTGGTGGCGGCGTAGGGGCTTAAATAAGGGTTGTGAAGAGACACTTAGCTCACGAGACATCACAACACGCAATATTAAGCTTATGAAAATTAGACGAAAAGATCCTTAAACAGTGGTTTTAAAGATATCCTCAATGCCGAGTTATATGAGCAGGGGGTCTGGGGGGGCCTCCCCCTGGAAATATTGATCATTAAACACTTAATTTCCTGCATTCTGGTGAAAGTTTCTGTACCAATTTATGGTGGAAATGTTTTTATTTATGTAAAAGGAAAATTCAAGCAATACTTGACGTTTCATAATATATAAATATAATAGAATATAAGTAAGTGCAGATCTCAGGCATTCTGTGTTGCTTTCAGATCTGTTTTCTCTTGTAGATCAAATTTTCTCTTGTAATATCATCCCTGCTGAGGCAACACACATGCAGGCATGATTTAGTCTCTCTCCTCTTTTGTCAGGGAGAGAACGGAAAATGTGTTAAAAGTTGTTAAAGTTACTGATTGGTGCATGCACGTTTTTCGGCCATTTTATAATCAGTAGCTTGTTTTTTTTTTCTTAAGTTACTTTTTTTAGACTATGTATTTTAATTGCATTGCATGTTTTTACAAATTTTGCTTTAAAAAAGTGATGGGGACAAAATCAGCCATTTCAAAAAGTGGTGGGGACATAAGGGCTCAGATTAGTGGCATGATGATACATTTGGTGCTGATGCATGAGAACAAGACATGAAGATTTTTAGCACTATTTAAATTAAATATTTGATGCGGAAATATGGAGGTCTGGAGGTCCCCCTGCACAAGATTTTGTGCATTAAACTCGTAATTTCCTGCATCCTGGAGACATTCTGCTCCCATTTACAGTGGAAATGTCTGTTTTTATGAGGGAAAACTATATTGTATTGCATATTTTCTTATTGTGCAAATAAACCATTTCTCAAAGCATTTTCATTTGTTAGTTAAAATTTCTTGGTGCAAGCTATTTTTCAGAACATTTTTAACAAATACTTTCAAAAAGTGATGGGAATAAAATCTTTCAAAATGTGGTGGGGACATGTCCCCAGCATCCCCTGTGTAAATGACCCCTATGGGGTCAGTGCACCAGTTAGGGTCAGACAGCAGAGTGGAGCTGTAGGCTCTTGTTTACTCCCTAAGAGGAGAAAGGGTGTTAAAAGTTTTTTACTAATTTAAGTGTTCAGTTTTGTGTTTTCAGTTAAATCTTCTTACATGCTTGCTTTCTCTTTTAGGAAGTAGTTTTCTGTTGCTGATTGAGTTTAATTTGTTAATAAAACTAATATCATAGCTAGGGAACGTAGCAAATATTTCAAATATGCCCAGCGTAAGATACAGTATACAACTGCCACCAACATGTCATGTGTACAGCCTGTTAAGAGTGCTAAATTAGTTAAATATAATCAAAAACTACAATACAGTCCCATAACATAGAGCAGTGTGTGTGTGTGTTTGCATAAAAATCAAATCCCTCATCTTCAGCTTTGAGTAGGCCTCTCCCTTGCTAGCTTCCCCTGTGCTGGACTGATTGTACAGCTATATACACACACATGAGAAGAAGATCAGTAATAAATATGACTAACAATAATACATTTTCTAATTGTATCTCTACATATGATTACCTACTCAGCCCTGCACACTGCCCCTGTCACTGTTTTTTCTGGTTCTATTGTCCTTCTCCTTCTCCTGTGGCTCCTGCAGCTCCTCCTCTTTCTTCTCTCCCTCCTCATCAACGTGACTAGGGTCATCATCACCCTGTACCTCTGCATCACCTCCACTGACCTTAACAGCTAATATAAATACAGACACACAAAGATTCCTCGCTTATAGAAGGATGTTGTGTTGGAGTGATAACACATGCAAACTGATCACTTTTTGGTATACAATATGTATCCCTATGGAGTCTAAAATGTACCCCAAACCAGGTAATTCTCTACGGGCCTAAATATCTTATTGGATGTTGAACTCTAATGCTTAACTAAGGAATGTTGTCACATGTTATTATTTCTGATCGGATTAGTCTTTCTAAAACAAAACAAAGCTAATCTTGACCTTGTAGATAGACCACAGAGTTCAGACTTATCAAGGCAGCTGTGTCAGTCTAGTCAACCAAACAGACAGGGAAGAGAGACAGAGTTTAACTTTGGAGAGTCACTGGCTGTGATCTTTGCCTTAGTTTAGCTCTGCAAATAACCCTAAACCTGACCTGGGGAAACCCTGTCTGACTTTACCTTTAAAGAGATAAATTTCCCTCATGAGCACTACAACACAAAGAAGCAGCTGTGGCTGAGGTATGGCATTAGTTTTGCAGGTGTTTGGCCATAAACCAAAGTGTTGGAAAAATAAAAAGGTTAAGGGATCACTACAGTTATTACATTTCATCCTGAGGGAAACAAGAATGTTTAAGATGTAGGCTGAATTGACTGTAAATGTAACTGGTATTTTCCTTAAAGCTATGATAAAGTGAACTGCAAAGTGTTGGTAAGACAATGTCATACTGAGCCACTAGCAAGCTAATGTGTATGTGCACAGGGACACTCGTGCACTTATACAGAGGTGAAATATTACACCCAGATGAGATGACAAGTGCCTGGCTAAAAGATTGCTTTTTAGGTGAGGTCCGACAAATCTTGACACTCTGCTGAACCAGTTTGGGAGAACAATAGAGCACCTTATCTGATATAAGAGGAAGCCAATAAAACATGACTAGGCAATCTGTGCCATGTGATATGCGTGTCTGGTCATGCCCTACTTCCCTGCTGAAAACCACATTCAAATAATCTCTCTTCTAAATTACAACCTAAGTCCTTCTAAATTAGCTGCTCTGCTGTTAGCTTTAACAGGAATGCAGTAAGTGTAGAGCATTATCGCTTTTTAAGCTTTGTAAGAAAGCAGCTCAGTTTAAAGGTGAATTGTGTGCCCATCATTTAATTTCATTCTACAATGACTGCTCTCGGGGTAAAACTTTTGCGGTAACGTTATTCAAGTGATGCATTTTGGACCATTAACGGTTATATTACACAAGAGTAAAAAACAAATGTGCTATTTAGGCGATACATCTGATGAAATCTCTGGGACCCAAATAAATAATTCGGAGCAAGCTGTAATTAAACATGAACAAAATTAGATCCTAAAGAAAAGTTTGATCTCATGATTTGAAACATGAAAAGTTTGATCTCATGAAATACATGACAACCACAGTATTTAATGTGGTTAGCATTATTTAATTTAATCCCCAATCCTTTTTGAATATTAGCTCAGGCTGTGACGGGAGAAGCTGCGAACCAACACGCTCCAGACTATAAGAACCTCTGGTTTAAAGAATTTGATTCAATAATGTGAGCAAACATGCTTCACCAGGCAGTGCTCTTATCTGTCATTTTAGATGAGCAGATGTATAACCATTGGCTGTTCTAAAGGGGGGAGGAGGGGGTTCCAGTGCCCCCATAATAATAAGCCCCGTCTGGCCCCCCTAACTGTGGCAAATTTTTTGTAAGGTGGAATACAAAAATTTAATAAGTATATATAAATAAATAAATCATGTTGTATAGTCAGACTATTTGAGGTGACAGACCTACTGGCTTATTCTCTGGATAATAAGTGTAACGGGGTTGAACTATATAATTCCCCTTGCAGGCCTACTTTGTGGTTTGTTCATTGGTACTGTCTGCAAGTAAGCAAAGAACGACACCCTGTGGTTAACTGTGGTGTGCTTGCTGTCTTGAGACGCAGTGTGCGCCCAATAAGGTCCAGTTGCAGCCAGTAGACATGCCCCCCGAAGCCTCGCCCCCTCACGCCTAGGACCCTGATCTACAAGCTGCAGCAAGACGCTTCTCCATGTGCCACCATTGTCTTAGTCTGTAAACACCACACTAAGGGTAGGTTTTGTGTCCCTACATTGGTGTAAACATTGCATACTTTTATTTTTAATGTGTAGTGCATGTTTAATGCGCAGTGTTAATGTATGGCTACATGTGCTGGTTTTCACAACAGGACTGTTAACTGTGATAAGTAGCAGCTAGCTAACATATTGTATTGTTTAGTGTGTGCACGGGGCACTGACTACTCTAACTCCAGAAAGTGCATTGTTTCCCAGATTTTGCAATAACACTTATATAGCCCCCGCGACCCTGTACGCAGGATAAGCGGTTGACGATGGATGGATGGATGGACTTATATCGCCATTGGTTATTCAACACAACGCAGACCTCAACTGTTACATAACTGTATAGATAGAAACAGATCTTTGCTAATTGAGTTGTATACAGGATTGTTTATTTTTTGTTTCTTATATAGTTTGCAAATATTGTCTTATGAAAATCACATGCAAAAACTCATCAGTCCTAAAGGTTGATCTCAATACCACAAGTAGGTAACACGGCCACACTGAAAACTATTACATGGGTCGACAAAATGATGTATGTAGTACATGGAAAAATAAACTGTAAGGACTTTATTAAGTCTCAAGCAACTTCAGTCTTCTACTACTGTAATTGTATATGACATCACCAGCTAACAAGCATGCCATGGCAGAAAGGAAGCACTCCAGATGACCTACTGGTCTACATAAGGACACACCACATGACTTCCTGAGTTAGACCAGTTAGGTTGATCAGAGTCCTGTGCTGCTGTCTTCAAAACCAAAAGAGGGGCACAAGTAAAGGGAGTAAGGATTTTGGCATTGGGTAGGGAATGTGCTGCATCATGAGGCAAAGATTAACAACAACAACAATGAACATGCATGACCCCACTGAGACACACACACACACAGACTGCTTATAAGGGGGGAAACACGAATATTCCCTTTGGTCAGTGAGATCTGACAAGGACCATATTATATTTATCTCAATTAAACCATCTCAATAAATGTAAAACTAATGCAACGTTAAGACATTATGTGTACTTCAAAATTAATCCAACTTTCTTTTATTTTTTCACAAATGACTGTTTCACTTGCCCTAACTAGTGCCCTATATATTAACAGCCTTGGCCATCATAACACACATTACAGCAGGAGGAATGTGACACCACAGAGCACGACATGGCCAACTAAAGGCTTACTGCACACAAGGATTTCTAACAGGCACAGTAATATGAGTAGTGAAGCCTGTCCTCCATGAATACTGCTGCAAACAGCTGTAGCCTGTTGTTCAGGCCTGCACTTAACTCTACACACCGGAGGAGGGTTACAAACTCACTGTTCCCTTTAGCTCCTCACCTTGAGGAGATCCAGAGGATGCGTGCAGCAGGCGGCTCCACAGGACGCAAGCCCCCCGAAATACCACCGCGACATCCGTTTCTCGGTCATTATTACGTGCACTGCGGTAGCCCGACGCAGATATAGCGGTATTTCCTTCCTCCCGGTCCGCCTCGACACGCTGTCGTCTTCCTGGCTTGCAGGGTGCAGCTGGCAGTAACTTGTGGTCTACAGGACACGGGTGACCTCGTTAATCTTCAAACATTTCAATAAGAGACAGCGCCACGGTAAGAAGGACTTTAGGCTCCAGCAGCATCGCACGCACTCACTCCACATAGCGTGCGTGCATGCATGTAAAAGACTGTATGTGCGCGCACTGTCTGCTGCGTTTGGCCCACGATGTGCGGAAGCAGCTGTAGCCAGTGGAGAAGAGCGCAGCCAATTGCCACCGTGGACGACGGAGCTGCCTATCCGCTTCGAGATCCAAAGGTCGATGGCGGAGCATGAGACTGTTAAAGGCACGAGCAGGACAAACTCACACAGCCCACTTTCTCCACTACTATCTGTCATGCGGGTTTTAAAGTAACACGCATCCGCTCCGCAGCTGCAGACCTATGCTGCAGACAGGCCAAATATTGACTCTGTCTCTTTAAGAGGACAATATGACTCTAAAGCAAACAGAAACTTCATCAGTCCACCAGGAACAAAAAAACGTGGTCTTTGTGAAGATTAACCAAGTACACATAAGTGTTTCTATGTGTGTTGTTTTCTGGGTGACCAAACAATACATTTTTCCAAACGTAGGCCTATCATCAATGTTTTCAGAAATAAAGGCGCATAAGTTTTGCGAGAAAGTCTACAGAAACTACAATTCACATCAATGTCTTTTTTTAAATCTTTTCTAAACATAGTTTTTAGCTGGATAGAATTAATGAATTAGCTTAAAAGAAATTTATTTAACTTTATTGGTGATTAAGTATCAATTCGTTTGAAGATATGACTTCTTCCCAACTATATCATCCACAAATGGATTTCAGTATTATATCACATATGGTACTGTAGTAGTAATAGCTCTTTGGAACAGATCTGTTGCTGTTACCCATAGAACTGGAAAAGCACATTTTACCTGTGGGAGTGTTGGTTAGAGTAAATTCTTGATAAGTAAATAGAAGACCATTGCGGGTAAATGACCTACCAACACAATGTTATTGTTAAACCAATATTCCAAATAGGGAGACTTGTGTTTATATAAAAAGTCCTTTTTATTCCATATAAATTAATTATGAGGTGAAAATGTGCTTGTAGATGAGAGACCATGACAAGAAAGCCTGGCTTTGAAAGACAGATATTTGTACAGGTCTATATCATAGTTACAAACTAAAAGCAAGTTGTAGTTACCCAGCTTGGATAATACATGAAGGTGTATTAAAAAAATCCTAATGGAGGTAGGGTAGAGGTAGTTTCTATAAGATTGTCGTCAGTTTATATAAATATATTATTTAAAGTAAAAACAAAAATAAAAAATGAAGCCCACCATTTCCACACAAGTTCATGAGAACAGTTTTCTTCAAGTAATGTGTTCTGTTTTTCTGTGTAAAATTGAGAAGCATTCTGTCTTTTAGTAGTTTATCATCAAGATGCAGAACTGAGGCTGCATAGGTCAATCACAAGATTCTCTCTGCTCTTAACAGATTCCTTAAGAGCCACTGGTTACATTTTATTTTGAGTTTTTTACATGATAGGATTAAAATTTAAGGTGATTCTCCTCGGTTGGCTTAGTAATTAATATTCCTTAAAATGGTATGTAATTTTTTATTGGAATATTACAAAGAAATTTAGATCTCTCTTTAATGGCTATACATTTACATTTATGTACATTCAAGTACAAACCAGAAGCCTTTGAGAACTCCTTGATTATATCAGTTTCCACGGAGATTTGTTTATCATTTTTCAAGAATAATTTGGTGTCATCTGCCAACTGAGTTATGATTAATTCTCTGCCAATAAGAGATACCTTTCACAGCACTATTTAATATATTCTGCCAAACGCTGAGCTGAGGAAGAGGTACAGGGAGGTGGGGCAACTCTCTGGCTAATGCCTCTGGACAGATTAAATCCAGGGGATGTACCACCCATTACTTTAACAGAACTGTTACTATTCTTATAAAGAGTTACAAGCTGTACAGAAAAAATGACCAGAGCCAAATTTCTTTAAAGATTCTAAGATAAACTGATGCACCACTGAATCAAAAGCTTTATAAAAAAAAAAACTAAAACTAGAATGAATCCATTATCATCAATCAATTCTGAGTAATCCATAATGTCCAAGACAAGTCTAACATTGTTTATAATATGTATGTTGTCAGTACGTTAGCAAATGATTTATATAATTCTGAAGTCAGTCCATCAGTACCTGTTGATTTGTTGTTTGTTAGAAGATTAATTGCTTTCTTAATCTCCTCAAGCGTGATGGGTTTATTAAATAATTCCATTTCATTCTTATTAATAGATTTAACTGTCAGAAAGGTGATGATTCTTTGCAAAAATATAGAGCTATAAAAATCTCTGTAAAAGTTACCACAGTTACAAGATATTACTTTGAAGTCATGTAACAATCCCATTCATATTTAGTCTATTACAATTTTTATTAGAATTATGTATTAAGTGTGTTTTTTTCTCCTTCTCATTCTTCAAGCCATTTTGCTCTAGATCTTATAAATTCCCCTTTCATCTAGTTTTAATGTGAGGTAACTACGTCCATTTCTTCCCCCTAATAGTGTATTAGGGTTCTTTTGAGATAAAAGGGTGATCTTTGTTATTACTTTATCCTCTTCAGCGCTTCTTGATTCAGTTTACCCAAAATACACTTAATCTCCTCCTATTGTGGCATATGGGATTTTATGCAACCATTCTACCAATACGTTCTCTAAAGAAGAAGAAGGTTATCATTTCCCATTTTTGTGTTTGGATCGATCCGTAGTTTTGTTAGGGTTAAATTAATTTTAAAATGTGCTACTTTGCTCTGATCCAGCTGCCTCTTTCTGTCTGTGGGTAATCACCAGAGCTGAGTTCAGCGCCGACATAACGTAGGCAGCTGAATTACTGAAGCTCATAGGTGTCATTTACACTGTGGATGTCCCCATCACTTTTTGAAATGGCTGATTTTGTCCCCATCACTTTTTGAAGCATTTCTTTAAAAAGTTCTGAAAAATAGTTTGCAGTAAGAAATGTTAACTAACAAATGAAAAAGCAATAAGAAAACATGCAGAGGAATTTAGATATAGTTTCCCTTCATGTAAAAAAAATGCAGGAATTCTCTCCAGAATGCAGAAAATTACGAGTTTAATGCTCAATATCTTCTGACTCCCCGCTCATATACTGTTTTTCAACATCAGATATTTGTTCTAATTAGTGCTACAAATCTTCTCATCTTATTCTCGTGGATCACCACGTGTCATGAGGAAAAAAAACATCCCCCCTCTGTTTTTTGACACAAATCGCACCCTGATTATGAAGACTAGATCTTCAGCAAAGAAACACATAAAATGGTAATGATTTAAAATGAAACATGGTCCGAAAATACTTCTCATTCTGGTGTGTCAGATCGTAATGTGCTTGTGGCTGCCCCCTTTGTTCAACAGTGGAATAACACCCGTCACAAAAGCTTGGTCTTCATCAGCCACTTTCCTAACTTCCCCTCGTTCCTGTTGGTTTTAAAAAGGATTTTAAGTAATTAGTTTCAAGTTGGCAGTTAAGAGTTGACAAGATGAAAGAAAGAAAGGGAACTACTTGCAGCACAGGAACCCCGATAAGTACTTGGCCGCCACCTTAACTCAGCTAGGGTGCCCCATGCTTTCCTTAACTGTCTCCCAAGCCTGGGATGTGTCTTCAGAATCAGAATCAGAATAAGAAAGCTTTATTGTCATTCAACGTGGTTCAACGAGATTTGAGTGCAACTCCCTCAGTGAAAATAAGATAAAAAGACATAAGGGTAATAATAAATAATCGACAGAAATTCACATAAACTTGAATTAGCAGGAGTAAAAGGATATTGCACAGTCCATGTATCAAAATAAATATTGCACAGTTAATGTAATATAATAGTAATAAACTCTAAAAACATTGCACAAGTTCCAGTGGCCATCATAGCACTCAGCCATGATACTAAGTAGTCCCAAGTTCGTCACCCTGTTTTATTGTTATAGACTAGAATAGTTATAGACTTGTTTGTTCATTTTCAAGAAAGAGGAACTTTCGGCACAATACAGAGAGCAGTAGGTCCTTTGCATGCCATCCTTTTGCCTTATGTCCTTAAAAACAAGTCTAAATATGTTCTTTTGTGTTGTGCAGAGTAAGCAGGGTGGCATGCGTGCAAGACTGCACAGAGACACAGTTCCTTTTCTTGGCTTACTGTCAGCACAATGCTGTGTCCTTTTCTGAATTATGTCTTCATTTAACACACATAGCTCACACCTAAAACCTCTGGATCACTCTGAGCCAAATTAAAGCAGTACAACTGAACACATGGACATGGACTGGCATGTTTGAAAAGGTTATAGAACATAATCGTAACACCTCAACCAAAATCTAAGAAGACGTGAAACCCATACCTTATTCACAGTTGAAAACATGCAACCTTGGTGGGTCATATTGTTTTTTGAGACATGTTTTCTAAGTAACATGAGGCAACTCACAGGGCTCTTAAGAGGCCAAATTAGCCATGCTCAAAGTGTAGATGAAATAAATCACAGCAACATATTTTAGCAGAAAGAGAAACAGTCATAATATCAAACCCAAACATACAGTGTAAGGGGTTGACCAAAGATGCATCTGGCACTCAAACTGATGGCACCCATACTGCTATCCATGTTTGCTATTGTAAACTTACTTCAAACATCTGGCTCTTTAAATGTGTTTACATAGTCTTGTAACCTACCTGTATGTAATTAATCAGTGTTGCAGCCGGTGTCATGTGACGGTTGTGTGTTACAGAGCACATCAGCTACTTAGTGTTTACTGCCCTCATCATGTCTGCTGTCACCACTCATCACAGGGAAATACTGGTTTGGGTTTCAAGTGGAGTTGAACTGATTTCCAATGGCCTTGCTACCACAACTGACATGTGTATAACCACTGTATGCTCATTTATGGTTTTTTACTCAATCCTCTGAGACTTTTTGTGGAAACACCTTTTTACCTAACAAAAAGATGGTAGCAAACATATCTCTTGTAGATATATGTGATATCTAGAAGAAGAGGGGAATAATCCTGTGTTTCATAGTCTTTTAAAACAGACGGGGTAAGCGGGACAGAGATAATATTTGTTCTGCTCACACATCCCATCCCAACATGTATATTTTTATTGTCCATAACAGGTTACACTTAATACAAAAAACAGTCAATACAAAAGTAAAGGTGGAAAATTGAATGTCATATTATGTACTGAATAATGTAAACTGTATATTGTTACTGAGGAAACTGTGAGGTGGCAAAAGCTTGATGAAACATTAGAAGACGTGTAACATCT